GGAGACTAGATCACTGCTCATGCTTTACTTTCCAGCTTGTGCCTGCTCTGACCACGGACAGTGTGACGACGGGATCCTGGGCTCTGGGCAGTGCCTCTGTCAAACGGGCTGGACTGGCCGATTCTGTGACACTCAAGAAGGTCAGTCCTGGGATGGCCACCTGCTGGGGCAGGGCCACTCCAACTGAGACTCTGGGCCTCAGTAACCCTGGTGTGGGTGGTGGGGCTGGGGGGCCTGACAAAGCAGGTGATCCCATTTCCATGGTGGAAAGATGCTTGTCCTATCTGGAGTTTGTGTTAGTTGCCTCTAAAAGTAATATACTTGTATTTTAATCTGGATAATGGCTTTGTAGAAAGTAGTGATTCTGGGATCTCAGCATATCACTCGGTTGGCAGAACCTTGGCAAATCTCCGCTCGGTGTGGGATGTAAGGAGCACTTTTGAAACATGGTGGGTCCCAACATTTCACAGCACAAGGGCAGGATGAACGGGGGATCACTTCCTTTGCAGTCTTGCCCCCCGTATGCACACCTGCTTGTTCTACTCATGCCACCTGTAAGGAGAACAACACGTGTGAGTGTAACCTGAACTACGAAGGCGACGGGCGAACGTGCACAGGTGAGTGCCCTCCATGTGTGCGTATGTATGTGTGTGAGTTAACAGCACGGTGCGGGAGAGGAGTGGGGTCTGGTCAGGGTTGCTGGACCCCATGCTAGTTTCTGCTTCCTGCCCAGGTGACTTCAGCAGCACCTTCCCTCGCTGAGACTCCATTTCCTTTTCTGAAAATGGACCTCATTTCCCCACCTTGTAGGTCATGGTTTTAAAATTGCTTTGTAAACTTTGGCACCTTTCATTGTATAGTTGGGCTTTTGTTTTGTTTTCCCAGATTCTACAATCATTCCATCTTCAGAAAACTCACTAAAGTACAGAAAAGAAAAACAGTAAATCAACTCTCACCACTGGGGATCTTCTGTGAACATTGCAATGTCTATATAATGTTTGGTTAAAGGCTCAATGTCTAGAGACTCAAATGAAGAGTGACATCATGTGGTAGATGTTTATTTCTGCCTCACATAATGGTGTAGCGGGAAGCTTCCCAAACTGAGACAGAGATTCTCATAGAAACATTGGCAGGGACCCAAACTCCTTCCATCTTGTTGCTCTGCCATCTGCTCACATACCTGGATCCAGGTGGTACTGGTACTGCCATAATGGACACACTGTCCATGGTCTGAGCAGGCACAGGCTGGAAAGCTGTGTGGGCAGTGATCTAGTTTCCCGGTGACTGAGCTGCTCGCTGGGCCTTTTCAGTGTGGGAGACACTGTGCCCAGGCCCCAGTCATTTATTCTCTAGACCGGAGCACAGAGGAGAAGAGGGTGGAGACAGACCGCCTTCCTTTTAAAGATATGGATTTCTTGGGGGTGGGGGGACTGGGTCTGAAAAAAAAAAAGAAAGATATGACATAAAACTTGCCAAAAAAAAATCACCATCACGCTGGCCATAGCCCCGTCACTGACCACACCTTGCTGCAAGGAAGCTTAGGAAATGCTGGTTTTAGCTAGTCAACCATAAACACAGCTAAAAATCCCCTCAACACAAAAAGGAGAGAATAGATATTTGGGGACATTTTATTCATCTTGACCGTGTGGCTTCCTAACACTTTTCATGAATGAATGCTCTTAGCCTGGATCCTCTAAAGGAATGAAATCAGGGAAGTATCCATAAAGCTAGATGGAGAGGAGCTTATTTCACGGAAATGGCAGACACCGTTGTGAGGAGTGGCAAGTCCTAATCCATGGTCAAGCAGCAGGCTGAAGACCTCTACTGCCTCACAGGGTTGCAAGGGCTGACCAACCTTCGGGTCAGGTAACCGGCTAGAGGCCTTTGCTGGCTCACAGGGTTGTGGGGCTTGTTGTTGTTGTTCTTGGTGTGAGGGGTCATCAAGTTGGTTCCAACCCATAGTGCCCTCATGCACAACAGAATGAAATACTGCCCAGTGCTGTCCCCTCCTCACCGTTGTTCTTAAGGTTGAGCCCATTATTGTAGCCACTGTGTCCATCCATCTCCTTGAAGGCCTTCCTCTTGAATCCAGAATTGGCAGGTCAGGCAACAGGCTGAAGACCTCTGTAGACGTCTGTCCCAAGAGCCAGAGATCAAGTGATGAGAAAAGCGCAGGGTTGAGAAAAAGGACGAGCTTTGCCAAGACATCCACTTACACCCTGGTGTCAGTCCACATCCCCCAGGACACTCCCTGCTGACTGGCTGGCAGCGCACGTCAGACCACACAATGGAAGAGAAGGGGAGTTTTGAACAGTGCCTGTCAAACCATAGAGAATCAGAGCCAAGTGGACACACAGCACTGACCCTCACATACTCAGGTCAAGGTTTATAGGCTTCTTGTAAAATAAGGTCTTGCTGATCTGCTACAAGGCAATCCAGAAGCCATGCCAGCATAGACCCCATTTCTGTCTTTCTGCTTGGCCAGCCTGAGAGAGAGAGAGAGAGAGAGAGAGAGAGAGAGAGAGAGAGGCCGCCTGTCCCCGTGTTCCTTCCCTCGGAGACTCACGTGGCTGCCATGACTTCCCTGACTCACGGCTGGCGCTGGGACTAACCTATGACTGGGTTGGAATTTTTGGAGATTATGAAGGCAAAGGTCAGAGGTAGCACAACACAATGGGAAAAGCATGGACTTTGGAGCCTCCAATCCCAGCTCCACCACGGACTACCTGTCCCACCTTTCCCCAGCCAGCTCCTCTTTCCCACCTTGTTTGTTCATCTGTGAAATGGGGGTAACCATGAATTGCTCACAATGTACTCAATTAGCGTTGCACTAACACGCACACATAGTACTGTAATATTGAGAAACTCAATCTCATTCTGGAAAATGACTTCCAAAGTAGAGCCTGACAGATCAGAGGCAAAGAGGGGCAGAGGTGGACTGATATGATCAGACCTGGTCAACAAGGCAAGGCTATCAGTGTTTGCAGATGCCAGCATAAAACAGCACGGTGTAGAGATTAGAGGCCCATTAGGCATGCTAGGGGATCCAAGGAGCCCTGCAGGTGCAGTAGCTACATGTTGGGTTACTAACTGCAAGGCCAGCAGTTCAAACTCACCAGCCGGTCTATGGGAGAAAGACTGGGCTTTCTACTCTGTAAAGAGTTGGTCTCAGAATCCCACGGGGCAGTTCTACCCCGTCCTATAGAACCACCATGAGTTGGCATCGACTTGATGGTAGTGAGTGAGTGAAGGGGTTCAGGGACCATGGACTGTGCCAAGTGACACTGATGCCCTCTAAAACTGGGTGTCTGTAAAATTATTATGCAAGGTTTCAGCAGAAATTTATTTATTTCCATAAAAATACCCCTTTAGTTAGTTATAACAGCAAACACAGGTTTTTTATCAACTCAGTTTACACATATCACAATACCCACAAGGCTAAAAACACGATCCTAATTTGCCATTTGGACCCTCTAATGAGCTCCGGTCCGAGCTGTCATGACCACCCAATGACAATGAGGTCCCCAAGCCTGTGGTGTCTTCTGCACATCCTACAAGCACACGCTGTGGTTTCCATCACTGCTAATGTTTTTACAGCTGCTCCGGTGTTCTAGGGCTTTCACCACCGTGTTGCGGTAAGTAGTGGGTGTGGACCTCTAGCAACAGCGTTTGCAGAAGAAAGTAGCAGTGAAAGGAGAAGGAACAGAATCCAAGAAGGCTTCCACTCGGTTTCCCATAATGTTGTGACTAATATTGTCGTCATTCAGTCCAAGCAATAGTTCCTTGAAGCCATCCATCTACAGTGTTGGTGATCACATAATATTCTATGATACAAGTCGATGGTAAACATTACTAAGGGTTCTATATGACCTGGTGTGGGAGAAGGTTCATGGGGGGGTGGGTCTTGGGGCGAGGGGTTTACATCATGAGTTACTGCACCAGGTAACACCAACCCTAGTGGTGCCACTGCACGGACTCCCCCTGCTCCCAGGTGCCGGGAGGGCTTATATCCAGGTCCGAAGCCCCAGTTACACCGCTCTCACCCTCCTACCCTGCTCTTGCAGTTGTGGACTTCTGCAAACAGAACAACGGGGGCTGTGCGAAGGTCGCCAAGTGCTCTCAGAAAGACACCAAGGTCACCTGCAGCTGCCCGAAGGGCTACAAGGGGGACGGTCACAGCTGCATAGCGATAGACCCCTGCGCGAATGGCCTCAATGGTGGCTGTCACGAGCATGCCACTTGCACGATGACTGCTCCGGTGAGTGGCTCGTCCCCAGAGGAGCGGGGACTTCCCTCAGCCTGGCTTCTCCACCTGCCGTGGGTCCTGCTCACCGTTCCACTTCTCCCAGAGCTTTTCTTCCCACCTCAGTCGATTTCTTGCTAAAAGCTGGAGAGCCTAATGCAAGCTCAATGCAATCTGGTCTTTGGGAGAGAAAAGGGGCATTCGTGGGGAAACTGGGAACGTTCCGATCAAACCCATTGTTTCGGTGATCCGTCGCGGACCCATGTGAATGGCTTTGCTTTGACAGCTGTACCATGCTCAGGTAAGACGTTGACATGAGGGTGAATGTTCTCTGCTCTCTTGGCAACAAAGATGATTCCAAAGATGATTCCAATTTTTAAAATTCCATACAATTTTTTTAAATGTACTCAGATTAAAAGACGATGGGCAGGGGCCAGTTGGGGGAAGCACTCAAATATCTGCAGACTCCCGTCAATGTCGTTTGTGGAAAGATGGGGAGGGCCGTGCCCATTATGGATTAGAAGCATGGGCTTGGAGTCACACAGACTTTGAGACTTAGCCCCCAGGCTTAAATACCACGTGGTCCCGAGCTGGCTGCTTCAGCAATCTGAACCTAATGTCCCTCATCTGTAACATGGTTACATAATAATGTAAACTTCAGAGGGTTGCTGTGGGAAGAAAGGTGGATCATTTACTGATTCAGTACATGGTCACTGAAAACCCACCCTGTACTTTTATGGGTCTCAGTGGTACTTCAATCAAAAGGACAGACATAATCTCTGATTTTCTGGAGCCTATGGGAGCCCTGGTGGTGTGGTGGGTTTTGTGGTAGGTGGGCTGCTAATTGCAAGGTCAGCAGTTTGAAACCACCAGCCGCTCCAAGGGAGAAAGACGAGGAT